TGCAAGCCTGTAATCCCAGCACTTTGGGAGGCTGAGGTGAGAGGATTGCTTGAGCCCATGGGTTCGAGACCAGCCTGGGCATCTTAGCAAGACCTCGTCTCTACAATGAATAAAAAAATAAGCCGGTAGTTCAACTACTTGGAAGGCCGAGGGGTAAAGATCTGCTGAGCCCAGCAGGTGGAGGCTGTGGTGACAGTGAGTGTGCCACTGCCCTCTAGCTTGGGTGACATAGTGAGACTCCAACTCAAAAAAAAGAGAGAAAAAAACCCCCAAAAAGACATATTTAACTGCCAGCCAGGACTTCTGAACAGCAAGAACATAATCTCAGTTGCCAAGTGGATTGATCTGAGACGGACCCAAAGCATAGGCGCATGGAACTTCTCAGTTTCAAAGCAGGAGGCGTCTCTGTACATGGCCTTGGTTGACCTTGACACCAGAGGATGTGGGAGAGAAAGTGTGTCATCTGTTTCTTTAGGTCTGTTTGGCCCTGAAGCCTGCGTGTGCCTGAGCCCTTAGCTGCCAGGTATGCTTCCAGGTGAAGAGCGAGGTGGTCCTGGCCTCAGGTGTGGTACCTGGTGTTTAGGGATGGCTTGGTGGCAGTCCAGCTTCTGCCTGGGTTGGAGAACTCCAAGTGAGCTCCTGGGAAAAGAGCAGATGGGTCCCTGGACCCAGGCTCAGATCTGCCACCCATGTTGAGTGACCTTGGCCTGACCCTCTTCTGGTCTGAACACCATTTCCCATCTAAAATGAGAGCGTTTGGAGTGGGATGTTCTTTCTGGAGCTAATGTCCTAGAAGGTTGTGAGAGCAGTGAGTCAGGCCACCCCAAGGGCCTTGGGAACTGACTGACCTGCTTGACTGAAGGATTTCTGACAAGCCAACCTGAGGATGTTTTCTTCTTTAAGAAGGGGGTAGTTGTTTACTTTGGACTTTAAAAAAAAATTTCCCTAAGGGATAATTTTACAGAAAAATAAAGCCTCTATGTTTAAGGGAACAACTCTGTTTGCCTCTCTAGGCTTTGGGATTGTGGGTGTGTGAGTGAGTATGTGAGGGTGTCTGTGTATATGCGTAAGGGTGTGTGTATGTATGTGTGTATATATACTTGTGAGTGTATGCGTGTAAGTCTGTACATGTGTGTTGTGTGTCTGCATGTGTGTTGTGTGTATGTGTCAGTATGTGAGTATATGTGTGTGTGTGTATGTGCTGTGCCAGTATATGTGTGTTGTATGAATGTATCCCAATATGGTGAGTGTTCGTGAGTGTTCATGTGTGTACCAGTCAGTATGCATATATGTGTGTCTGCATGTGTGAGTTGTATGTATATGTCAGTATGTGTGAGTGTACCTGTGTGTGTGGTGTGTGACGGTGACTATATGCATGTGTACGTGTGTGTTTTCCTGAGGAGGCCTGCCCTGTGCAAGTGATGCATGAGGCATCTGCCTGTCCATCCCTGTGGCAGCTGGACCTGGCGGTGAGGGAACCTTCAGACTGGGTTCCCTTGTAATCCGCGCTCAGGCTCTCTCTCCCAGGAATCCCTTTGCCTCTCCCTGCCCCCATGCCACCCGGCGAGAAGCTCCCAGTTTGAGTCTCAGTTTTGCCCCCTAGTCAGGCAAGTCCCTTAGCCTCTGAGTCACAGTTTCCCCACCTGCCAAGTGCAGTTAATCATTTGTCGCGGAGGGTGAGTGTGAGCGTGTGAAGCATTGCCACTTCCTGCACGAGGTGGAGCGCATGAGTGTTTGTGCCTGTGTTTACTCAGGGCCCGCGGGAGGAGGGTGGGAGGTGGGTGAGACAGCAGGATCCCGAGCACACCAGCTGTCTCACTCCACCAAGCCAGGAAAGGGGCAAGGAAAGGACCACACGAGGGCAGGGTGGAAGGGAGAGGGCCCGGGCAACATAGTGACACCCTATCTCTATAGAAAAAAAAAAATCAAAAGATTCGCTGCGCATGGTGGCAGGTGTCTGTAGTCCCAGCTACTCAGGAGGCTGAGGCTAAAGGATTGCCTGAGCCCAGGAGTTTGAGGCTATGGTGAGCTGCTTTTGTGCCACTGTACCTCAGCCTGGGTTCCAGCTACTTGGAAGGCCATGGTGGAAAGATTGCCTGAGCCCAGCAGGTGGAGGCTGCAGTGGCCGTGAGTGTGCCACTGCCCTCCAGTCTGGGGGACAGAGTGAGACTCTGACTCAGAAAATTAAAACAAGCAAAAAAAAAAAAACACAAGTAATGTCCAGAATAGGCCAATCTATAGAGGCAGAAAGTGAATGAGTGATTGGCCAGGCCTGGGTGAGGAGGGGCTGGGTAGTAACTGTGAACAGATAAGGGGTTTCTTTCAGAGTGATGAAAGTGGGTGAGTTTATGGTATGTGAATTATATCTCAATAAAACTGTTGTTTATAAGAAGAAAAGATGCCTGGATTCCTGAGAAAGTGCAGAGACCACTTCCTTTCCGAGAGAGACGTTGCTGAGAAGTCCCTCCTACAATTTCTTCCTTAAATGGGACCAACGGCCCTTTCCAATGAGGAAGCAAGCAACCCGGGATTTCACAAGTTCTGCTTTCATTCCGCAACAGGCTTCCAGTGCAGCTTCCCACCCCCACAACCAGCCTCTGCAGGGAGGGACCGAAGACAGTGGGGCCCCCCACGCTATGGTGCCAGACTGGGCCTCCCATTGGGAGGGGAACAGTAGCAACTGCATGAAACCGGAACTTCATGTTAAGTTCTCCCTCTGCCTACTCATCTCCTTTATTCCTATGTAGAGATGGGATCTCACTGTGTTGCCCAGGCTAGTCTCAAATCTCGGGCCTCAAGCTATTCTGCCTCAGCTTCCCAAAGGGCTGAGATGACAGGCATGAGCCACCATACTCAGCCTTTTTAAAAATACATTTTTCACTTTTTTATAAGCCATATTTTACAGATGAGGAAAGTTAAGCTCACCAGCTAGCAAGTACATTATGGAGTCGATATTTATATTTATTTATTTGCCCAGGCTGGTCTCGAATCCCTGGGCTCAGGCAATCTTCTTGCCTTGGCCTTCCAAAGTGCTGGGATTTTAGGCATGAGCCACCGAACCCGGCAATCCCCACACTTTGGGAGGCCAAGGCGAGAGGATTGTCTGAGCCCATGAACTGGAGACCAGCCTGGGCAACTTGGCAAGACCTCATCTCTACAATAAAAAAATCAAAAAATTAGTCAGGCGTGGTGGCACGCACCTGTAGTTCCAGCTACTGGGAAGGCTGAGGTGGAAAGATCTCCTGAGCTCAGGAGGTTGAGGCTGTGGTGGCCATGAGCATGCCACTGCACTCCAGCCTGGGTGATAGAGTGAGAATCCAACTTAAAAAAAAGAAGAAAACGTGATTTTAAAAAATTTTTTGTTTGAGCTGGGGGTCTCACTTTGTGTCACCCAGGATGGAGTGCAGTGGCATGATCACAATTCACCACAACCTTGACCTCCTGGGCTCAGGCAATCCTACCTTATCCTCTAATATAGCTGGGACTACAGGCATGCACCACCAAGCCTAGCTAATTTTTTTTGCAGAGACTGAGGTCTCACCATGTTGCCCAAGCTGGTCTCCAACTCCTGGGCTCAAGCTATTCTCCTGCCTCAGCCTCCCAAAGTTCTGGGACTACAGGTGTGAGCCACTGCTCCTGGCTCAAAAAGCATAGTTTTAAATGGCTGCTTACAATGCCTTCTTCTGGTTGTACCACACCTTGTTTGTCCCCATTCACTCCATTGTAGAGTTTCCCCCTTTGAAAGGACAGGCTGAGAGCCGGAAATGCGTCTTTCTTTACTCTTCTCCCTACATCTTTTTTTTTTTTTTTTTT